GACCTTTTTCCGGAGTCCCTCCCTCTGTTTCCCCTAGCAGAGTCTGTCCTTCAAGTCTGGCGTGGTGCCTACAACTCTGGTCTCCTCCCCCAGCTCATGGCCAGCACCACCCAGCCCAGGTCGGCTTCCCCAGGGCCCCCTCCCCGGCCATGGGCAATATAGATGGCTCCCCTGGGTCCTCCCATCCTGAGCCCCAGAACACCCTCCCCAAGTCCGGCCCAGCTCAGTTAGTCCCCCGTCTCCCGCCTCACAGCCCTGCCCATCCCGTGCCCCCAGGAAAGCGCCTTCAGCTGGGGGAAGGGTCGGGCATCCCCTCCCCCACACCGCCTGCCCGTGGGCGGCGGCGTGCTCAGCCTGGTGATGTGGTAGTGGCGGGTGGGGGGTGCTGTCTGGACACAGGCCCCTTTGTGCCCAGCCCGACTTGGCTGCTTGGTATGAGGCTCAGCTGCTCCCAGATCCTCACCCAGAGGGGAGAGGGGAGGCTTTGGAGGGGCTGGGGCTGGGGGGCTCTGGACTTGGGCTCCCTCTCAGTGTCCCACCTCTCCGATGTTGGCAGCAGCTGCTCAGGTGGGCTGGTGCCCCTGGCACAGGGTGCTGGGGGGCTGGTGAGGGAGGCCCCGCTTGGCACCCTCCAGCAGCCGCTCCTCTCTTCTCCGCTTCTCTGCCAGGCCAGCCAGCAGCTCCTGCCAGTAGAGGGGAAGCCCGGGGTGGGTGGGGGTGGGGGCTTGGGGGGTCCATGGTGTCCCCGCTGGGAGAGGCCCAGAGGGTCAGGCACGGGAGCACAAACCTTTCTGATGGTAGCTTCTCTCCTGTCCCCACAGAATGGTGCTGTGCCCAGCGAGGCCACCAAGAGGGACCAGAACCTCAAACGGGGCAACTGGGGCAACCAGATCGAGTTTGTACTGACGAGCGTGGGCTATGCCGTGGGCCTGGGCAATGTTTGGCGCTTCCCATACCTCTGCTATCGCAACGGGGGAGGTACCCAGTGGGCACAGGGCAGGGACCTCCCACTTAGCTAGAGCCTACCCACCAAGGCCTGGACTACCCCCTCCCTGGCACAGACCCCTCTCCAGACAGGCTGGCCTCTGGCTCTCATCTCCTTTGCCCCAATCCCTGGCTTAGGTACCCTTTACCTAATGCACAGGTCACCCCCTGACCCTGGCTGTCTGCTGTTTGGGCCTGACCCTGCTAGCCTGCTCCCTTGAGGTCAAGAGAGGTAGAAAAAGGCGCCCCAACCTCCCAAGGTTTCCTGTCTTATACCCCCTGTGTGTCAACAGCCCCCTAAATGGTTCAGGGAATTTGAGGATCCCAGCGACTTATGTTTGTGAATTTGCTTGGTGAAGCCATCAAATCCCACCCTAACATGGTGGGTCTGGGGCCTGGGTTCTGTTCAGGAAGCTTCTGCCAAATTAAAAGGCACGCTGTGGGTAGGATGCCTCAGACCCAGGCTCTTGCTCAGTGCGTGGACCACCCTCCTCTGGTCTTAGCCGATCGCAAAGGTTTTGCTGTTGGGTTCTCAGCAGGAAGAGGGTGGGACCCCCCAAGCCCGCCCTGAGCCAGCCCTTTCCCTGCCTGCCAGGCGCCTTCATGTTCCCCTACTTCATCATGCTGATATTCTGCGGGATCCCTCTCTTCTTCATGGAGCTCTCCTTCGGCCAATTTGCAAGTCAGGGCTGCCTGGGGGTCTGGAGGATCAGCCCCATGTTCAAAGGTGAGGCCTGGGTGGGGTACACCGCCTCCCCCCCGGCCCCCCCCCCCCACACGCACGGGCCTCTGGGGGCCTACTCACCCATCTGTACAAACACTGTCAACCCCCACGGAGCCTTGGTGCTGACCCCAAGCCCTACATCAATGGCCAAGGCCACAGATGCATGCTGGGATCCATGTTTACTTGGCCTCCACCCTCCTCACCTACCACGTGTATACACAAAGCCCCCGGGCCCCCCAGCTCACCCCTGCTAAGGCCTTGACCTGTCCCTTCGATGGCCCCCCACAAAAGCCTACCCTGGGGGGCCCTTCAACATTAACCTTGCCTCCTTCAGCTAGATGTGTGAGGCTGCCCCCCTTCCCTCCCAGGTGTGGGCTATGGCATGATGGTGGTGTCCACGTATATTGGCATCTACTACAACGTGGTCATCTGCATCGCCTTCTACTACTTCTTCTCGTCCATGACGCACGTGCTGCCCTGGGCCTATTGCAATAACCCCTGGAACACGCCCGACTGCGCTGGGGTGCTGGACGCCTCCAACCTCACCAACGGCTCCCGGCCCGCCGCCCTGCCTGGCAACCTCTCCCACCTGCTCAACCACTCGCTCCAGAGGACCAGCCCCAGCGAGGAGTACTGGAGGTGAGGCCCCACTGGCCCCGGGCTGGGGGGGACACCTGGCGCCAAGCCTCGGCTCTCCCCCCTTGCCATCGGGCAACTTTCTGCCGACCCGGTGGGGTGCGGGGACCGGAGCCGGGCAAACTAAGGAGTTTACAGACTAGCTCAGAAGAGGAGGCTGACACAGCCGAGAATGATGGAGGGCTGGACGCTGAGTTGAGCGTCCTGACAGGGTGCAGTGAGAGAGGGCTCCAGCAGTCAGGCACGTCCGCAGGGCAGAGTCGGGGGACAGCGGGGTGTCTTCCTGGTGAGAACAGCGTGAGCAAAGGCCTCAGGTCCCAAAGGAGAAGAGGCTGGTCCTGACCCTGAGGGGAAGCTCTTCTGATGAGACTCACAGGTGTGTGGGAAACTCATGGGCCCTAAGGGAGCCTAGGAGGGGCCACCAGCCTTCCTGGAGAACTTATATGAATTAAGCGTAGACTTACCACTGCAGGGCAGAGGGAGCCGTAGAAGCTTCCTGAGCCCAGGGCTGTCATCATCAAGCCGTGCTTAGGAAAGACAGCCTGGCACTAGTATGCTCTGTGGTGAGAGAGACTGGAGTCTCAGGACTGGCTGCAGGGAAGCTGCTGTTGGAGGTGTTCTAGAACACCTTGGCGTGAGGGCGCAGGGGGATGTCCTGAAGGAAACCCCCCATGTCCTTTTGGGGAACTGGTGGGAAGAGAGTGTTGGGGGCCTGTGGGTAAGCCATGTTAATTCATTCCATATCTACAGGGTCTGCTCTGCCAGGCCCTAGGTACCCATGGGGTCTGAAGAGCCCTGAGCCCCTCGCCTGAGGAGTCCACAGTCCTGAGGGGGGTCATATTAGGGCAGGTGCTCAGGGGTGTGGTAGGGGCACAGAGACGGGGTGGTTAGTTCTGAGGGACGGGGCCGTGAGGAGGTGGTCCGGAAGGCTTCCCTAGGAGGGAGGAGGGAGGTGTAGAAGGGTTGGGAGAGACGTGGGCAGGAAGGCCGTGGCCACGAGGTGGCGAACTGGAGACAGGTGGGACGGGAGAGGCCAGAGGCATCATAAGGCACAGGGCTTCCCAGGCCAGGCTGAGGTTTGAAGTTTCTCCACCAAGTGGTAGAGAGCCAGAGGCGAGATGGCTGAGGCCCCGGGGAGACGGAAGTCCTAGCGGGTCAGAATCCTCTGAGCCTGGTCCCGGTGCTCCGACCCCGCAGGGCCCGGCTTCCCTGCACCAGCCGCCATGCTGTGTCACTGACATTCAAAGACAGCTCGGATGTGGTCATTATCCACAGGGCTCGCGGTGTAGACAACAGCGAGGGGCAGGCAAAATTACCTCCAGGCCGACTCAGTCCCTCAGTCGCTGGACAGATCATTTCTCGAGCACCTAGTAGGTACCAGACACTGCCCTCGGAAGGGAGACAGCGTGAGGAGTAAGACGCTCGGCTCCTGCCCTCGTGGAGGTCCCATCTACCGAGAGGACTAAGCAGTTTACTGCACAGTTAGGTATTCTACTGCGTTTGAGGCATGGTGTGGTCAGGACAACTTGATCTAGACTCAGGGGGTGGGGGGAACCTGAGGAGCACAAAGCCTCACCCGCACCCACGGGGCTGCTCCAGAGCCTCTCAGCCCAGCCGGTCTGCCAGGGAGGCCCAGCCGGCTAGGGCCAGCCACGACAAAGTTCTGGAGATTTCATCCAGGGCAATCAGAGGGGAATAGTCCTCAAAGAAAACTGGTCATGGGCTTGGGGGGGGGTGCCCAATGGGTGGCCCATTGAACTCTCCTCAGTCAGGGCTGGAGTCAAGCCTGCCTCACTAGCCCCTGTCCCAGGCGGAGCTCCTTCCCAGCAGGATGGCTCCCTGCTGCCCCCTCCTGGAAACCCTGGGAAATGACCCTTGAGAGGCCTGCGCAGGCCGGCTTCAGCAAGGAAGCGAGGAGAGCAACACCACCGTTCCCCTGGGCACCTACTATGTGCCAGGCATGTTATCTCCTATCACAGTATCCCTATTTTTCAGATTCAGAGACTGACTGATGTTCAGAGGTTAAGGAACAAGGCAGCAGCGCTGGGTCAGGAGATGTGCTTCCACTGTGCCTGGCGCCTGGTATGAATCAGGCCAATGATACTCTACAGGTGTCCTTGGTCCACACTCTCCAACACCCCTTTGGAAAGCTGTGTGATCACATTTGAGCCCACCACAACCTCGTTTGCTAGCTCGTGCAGGTAGTATAAAATAGTCCCGTTTACAAATGAGGGAAGCAGGTCAGAAAAAAGATTAGGAGACTCCTCTAAAGCAAGAGAAGCACAGAGGACAGATTTCTGAGCCTCAGTCTGCCTCCTGCCCACCCCCTGGCCCACGGTCTCCTCTCTGCCCCCAGCCCTTCAGTCTTGTTCTACGATCCTCTGCGTGCTGGTCTGATTCCGGCCCGTAGGCGCTAAGTAACGACCAGGCTCTCACCTCCACAGCCTGTGGTGCACAGCAGAGCACCCGAAACCCAGTGGGACTCAGGCCCCAGCACCCTGCTCCCAGCGTCTTCATGGCAGCTCTGGGGTAGCACAGACCTCACTCAGATTGCGGCTCTGTCACTCATCAGCTGTCTGGCCTTGGGAGATCGATCACCAAACCTCTCTAAGTCATAGCTGTTTGTCCATTAAATGGGAGGGGTCGCAACACCTACCTTGTTGTTATAAAGAGGGAATGAGATCATGCGGCATCACTCCGAAGAACAGGGACGGGCGCTCAGGAAGCACAGTGATGCCTGCCGACAGGCTCCAGCCGCTGCTGGAGACACAAAGAAACACATTAGGCTGTTTTGTGATCGCTGGGCTGGAGCAATTAAAAAATAATGCAGAATAATTCCAGAGATGTTATGCATCGAGAGCCAACTTGTAAATATGCTGGGTTCCAAGAGTTCTTAGGTTAATTGATCTCAAAAGCACATGGTCCCAAAACAAAACGAAAAACTAAATATGGTGCCATAAAAAGAGAGGTAGAATTCACTACTTGGTACCCAGGCTAGCATTCTAAACTTTTTAACCCCCCGGTATTGTAATGCTGTGCCCTTGCAAATCATATAAATGATTTAAACATAATCAGATAAAATACTACCAGTTTAACATATATAATTAGACAAAGTTAAAAAAAATCTTCTGAACAAGAAGTGGTTTCTTTTCGTGGAATGCTATTGGCTGAAGTAAAGCAGCTCTGAGTAAGCAGCAGAAGGACCCTGTGGCTATTCTGGAAGGCTTCCAGCACGCAAGTGCCCTGAGTAGGTGTGCCCGGTTGGGTGGGGTCTGGGCAGCCCGGAGCCCCCAGCCCAGTTGCCTTCAGCTTTGAGTGACCTTGTCTGCTTACCTCAATAGCCCCAGAATACTTTTTCTGTGTGCTATGAAGGAAAAAAGATTGGAAAGCACTGTTGAAGGGGACCAGGTGACTCTTGCTGGTGGTCCCACAGCTCCTGAACTTCTGCCATCCCCTTGCCTTTGGTTCCCCCATTGACTAAAAGCCTGGAGTTGGGCACGTGTTGGACAGCGCCCTCTTCAGGTCGTGGTGCGAAGGGCGGCCTCCAGGGAATTTCTGAGGCTGCGAAGAGGCAGGCCCGCCCGGCAAACACCAAATCCCAGGCCTGGCATCATTGTCCCATGAGGGGACAGAGTAACATCGCATCACAAGGTATTAAAAACGTTGCCATGAGGTTTGAGAACTGACTTGGGAAAGAAAGTGCGAATAGCTGAGAATGATAGAGGACAGCCTCTGAGCTATCTTGAGAGGTCCTAGCTGTAAAAGGGGACAGAAGGGAGCCTGTATTTACCTAAATCCAGCTACAGATTATGCTAGGTTGGTGTTATTATGCCCATTTTACAGATGAAGAAACTGAGGCTCAAGAGCTTACCTCTTGCTCATGACTTCTAGCCTGGAAAATTGCAACAACCAGGCTGGTGTCCGCTCCCAGGTTCTCTCCTTTCTACCTCCAGATCCATTTACCACAATTTTCACTCATTCATTCATTCATTCATTCAACAAATATCTTTTGAGTACTGCTCTGTGCCAGGCACTTTGCTAGGCACTGGGGGCGCTGGGTACTCCTGCCTTTCTAGAAAATGGATGACAAACAAAATAAATAGGTTAAAAGAAAAAAAAAAGGAGACATACGCTGTGGAGGAAAATCTAGCAAAAGGGATAAGGAGTGCTGGGCAGGGGCCAGGGCTGCCATTTTAAGCAGGGTAGCCAGAAAAGGCCCCTTTGCAAAGAGGGTACCCGGAGTAAGTACCTGAAGGAGATGAGGAGGGTGAAAGCAATGCCGACAAACCCAGCTGCATAATTTGTGGGGCCCAGTGTGAAGTGGGCATATGGGGCCCCTTGTTCAAATGTATGCAGAATTTCAAGATGTCAGTGGCAGAGCATTAAGCCCAGCACGAGGGCCTTCTAAGCAAGGGGCCCTGTGTGACTGCACACGCCTCACACCCGTGTGTACATGTGGATATTTGGGGAAAGAGCCTCCAGACAGAGGAAAAGCTCGTTCGTGCAAAGGCCCTGAGGGAGGGGCATGCCTGGCATGATTCAGGAACCACGAGGAGCCCAGTGCAGCTGGGGTAGTGAGCAGTGCGTCAAGTGGGAGGACAGGAGACCAGAGGGGTGGCAGGTTGGGGACAACGGACCACTTTGGGCCTCGCAGCCACTGCAAGGACTTAGGCTTTTCCCTGGTGAGAGATGGGAGCCGCTGCAAAGTTTTGAGCCAAGGAGAGACCCTGAAAGTGCTCTTTTTTTTTTTTTAAAGATTTTATTTATTTATTTGAGACAGAGAGAATGAGAGAGAGAGAGCACATGGGGGGGGGGGCGGTCCGAGGGAGAAGCAGACTCCCTGCCGAGCAGGGAGCCCGATGCGGGACTCGATCCCGGGACTCCAGGATCATGACCTGAGCCGAAGGCAGTCGCTTAACCAACTGAGCCACCCAGGTGCCCTGAAAGTGCTCTTACCAAACCCTTCAGAAGCTTCCCATTGCTCGCAGGATAAAATTCAAACTTCTCAGCCTTGCCTTCATGGCTTCTTATAATCTGGCTTCTTCCTATCCTTCACCCTTCTCTCTTCCCTTTACCTTCTGTCCCAGCCTTGCCGAGCTGCTGACAGATCCAGCCAGGCTAGCCATGTTCTTTCACGATCCCCTGTCCTGCTGAGCGCTGCGTCCTCAGCCTGGCATGTGCTGCTTCTTCTCTTCACCCACTTGCTCCCATTCCTCAAGCCTTAGCTCAAGCCTCACCTCTTCTGGGAAGCCTTCCAGTGTGCCCCTCCACCACCCTTCCAGTGGTGTCCATATGCCCGATCCAGGTCTCTATGCCCAGCACCTCGCACAGGGCCCGGCACATAAGTGTCCAGTTGATTGAAAAGGCACTGCTGGGGCGGTGTAGGGCACCAGATAGAGCCACACATACACAGGGGAGGAATTCGGGTTCAAGCCTAGGCCTGCATGCTCCAGAGCCTCCAGTCTTTATTCAGCACTCCACCGCCTCCCTCAGTTCATCAGGGATGGAGAAGGCTAGTGTGGATGAAGAGTTCACAGAAGGCTTCCTGGAGGAGGTGACACCTGATAGGATGTGTCCGGTCTAGAGGAGAAGGCATTACTAAAGGGAGAAATGCACAAGCCAGGGCCTGGGATGGGCCGGAATAGGGACAGGGAGACCTCCACACTCCCAGGACTGAGGAGGCTGGCCCAGGCTCAGGGTGTTACCCCCAGGCGCCTTTGTGGTCCTGGAGGGGCTGCAAGCAGTGGAGTCTCAGGGCAGCAGACAGAAGGGGTGGGGTGGGGCCAGTCGGGGCTGGGGCCTCATAGTGGCACCCTTCTTCCACATGCTGCACCCTCATGAGAAAGAAGGAACCTGCCAGGCTGCGCCCCAGGCCTTGGGAATCAGTCACTGGGCATCAGGGGCCCGGGCCTCAATAGCAGAGTATCCCCTTCCCCAGGCTCTACGTGCTGAAGCTCTCAGACGACATCGGGAAATTTGGGGAGGTGCGACTGCCCCTCCTCGGCTGCCTTGGTGTCTCTTGGGTGGTGGTCTTCCTCTGCCTCATCCGTGGGGTCAAGTCTTCAGGGAAAGTAAGTATACCCCTCCCCCAGCAGGGTCTGTGCCCACCCAGAAAGACCCTGCTTCCCCTGCTGGGGTTGTGTGTAGGGGTTGGGGGCAGGTGGTGATGAAGGGACATGGGAGGGGAGGAGCGGCCAGAGGGTGGTGGGGTGGTGGCTGGGGGGCCAGGCAGGGGGTGCCCAGGGCGGGAAGAGCTGGGAGGAGTCCAGCGGAGCCTGTCTCGTGCACAGGTGGTGTACTTCACAGCCACATTTCCCTACGTGGTGCTGACCATCCTGTTCGTCCGAGGTGTGACCCTGGAAGGAGCCTTCACGGGCATCATGTACTACCTGACCCCGCAGTGGGACAAGATCCTGGAGGCCAAGGTGGGCCATGGAGTGTGGCCTGGAAGGGGGGGGAGGGGCTGAGAGGTGCCCGCCTCTGACCCCTGCTGCTCTGCCCATCCTGCCCCGCAGGTGTGGGGGGATGCCGCCTCCCAGATATTCTACTCGCTGGGCTGCGCGTGGGGAGGCCTCATCACCATGGCTTCCTACAACAAGTTCCACAACAACTGCTACCGGTGAGCCCCCACCCCCCCGCCAGCCCCGGGCTGCCCCCTCCACCCAGCAGCCTTCCCCAGGCTTTCCCAGATCCGCAGACCCAGGGCAGCCTGCTGGGCCTCCCCCGAAGGCCCTGCATCGCACTCACGGCCTGGAGGTCCTGGGAGTGCTGGGTCTGGAGTGGGTCACTGGGGAAAACAGAGAGAAGGCGGGGGAACGGTGATGCCCCAGGGGTCTCTGGGGCCTCGAGAGCCTCAGCCCACTTAAGAAGGCCCAGAGCAGACCAGAAAAGAGGTTGAGGGGGCCTCTGTTCCTAGAACGTTCCATCTCAGGTCTCGTCTCTGCCTGACTGGGCAAGGGAAGCAAGCCGCGTGTCTTGAGCCCTGTTCTCCTCCCCACCAGGGACAGCATCATCATAAGCATCACTAACTGTGCCACCAGCGTCTATGCGGGCTTTGTCATCTTCTCCATCCTGGGCTTCATGGCCAATCACCTGGGTGTGGACGTGTCCCGTGTGGCTGACCACGGTCCTGGCCTAGCCTTCGTGGCTTACCCTGAGGCCCTCACCCTACTGCCCATCTCCCCACTCTGGTCCCTGCTCTTCTTCTTCATGCTCATCTTGCTAGGGCTGGGCACTCAGGTATGAGGCACGGGACGTGGGCCAGGGGCCTGGTGAGGGTGGAGGCCGGGCCGGAGGCCAGGCCCCTGCTCTGACGGCCACTTCCTGCAGTTCTGCCTCCTAGAGACGCTGGTCACAGCCATTGTGGATGAGGTGGGAAACGAGTGGATCCTGCAGAAAAAGACCTATGTGACCTTGGGTGTGGCCGTGGCTGGCTTCCTGCTGGGCATCCCCCTCACCAGCCAGGTAAGCCCCGACAGTAAGGCTGGGCTGGAGTGGCCCGGGAGGGGGGCATCGTGGGTGGGGGAGCCGGGCTTCGGCGCTCCCGGCTCAGCTGCCCACTGGCCCGCAGGCAGGCATCTACTGGTTGCTGTTAATGGACAACTACGCGGCCAGCTTCTCCCTGGTTGTCATCTCTTGCATCATGTGTATGTCCATCATGTACATCTACGGTAAGTGCGCAATCTTCTGTGGCCTCTCGTGTCCCGGCCCTGGCCTCCCCACGCTGCCCTGCCAGGCTTGCTGACACCCCTCTCTCAGGGCACCGGAACTACTTCCAGGACATCCAGATGATGCTGGGATTCCCACCGCCCCTCTTCTTCCAGATCTGCTGGCGCTTTGTCTCTCCAGCCATCATCTTCGTAAGTTCCTCGGCTGCCCGCCCCCCTCCCTGCTACCCCCTGGCAAGTGTCCTTCTCTTGGGAACCAGCAGAGGGAGAGCAGGAGCCCATCCGTCTGGCCAGAGCTTCCCCCCACCCTGACCCTCCCACTGGGTCTCTGCACCCACCACTCTGGCCACTGGGAGCCTGAGAGAGGTTGCATAGAGTCAGGCGGAGACTCAGAACCACCCGGGCACTGGCCTCGGCTTGGGAAGGGAGCTTAGAGCCCTTATTCGGCTGAAGACGGTGCCCAGCCTCGGCAGGGGAAAGCAGGCTGGCAGCGGCTGAGAGCTGGCCCTCCCTCCCTCCCTCCTGCGTGCTAGCCCCAGAGGGGCCTCGGGAACAATTAGTGATATCGGTGTCAGCCTCCATCGGCCTTGCTGATCCCTCTTAGCGGAGATGCTCAGGGTATGCGGTGTGAATGCATGGGTGTTCCAGAAGCGGGTTGTACAAGTCAGATGTCAGCTCCAGATCAGAGGCAACCTCCTACACCTTCCAGGCACTGGAGGGGCCTGGCTCTGGAGAGGGAAGGCTCTCGTTCCCCCAGTATTCAACACCTGGGAGACTCCCATCAGGGAGCGGAATTGGAAGGACCTCCCGCCCTGGCTGGGAACCAGGCACTTTCTGCATGTTGTTCATGTATCAACTCATGTGATCCAACTCTCCAAGGTATCATTGTTATTCCCACTTGACAGATGAGGAAACTGAGGCACAGAGATGTTAAGTAATCGACCCAAGTTTACACAGCTAATAACTGACAGAGTCGCTATTGGAAGCGGGTTGTCCCATCTGGAGCCTGTGTGCCGGGCCAGGGCTACACCAGAAACGGCCGCAGGAAGGAGGACTCTGGTCCATGGACTAAAAACCATCTGGTTTTGCTCCTTTCTGCTCAGGGTGGGAGGAGGAGGCACAGAGTGTTTGTTGGTAGAATGGTCGCTCCACAGAGAAGAGGCAGGACCACCGGAGTGACAGAAGGGTCAGCCTAGCGGCAAGGGCAGCGTTCAGTCGTGTCCCTGTCATGCCCAGCTTCTCTGGGCCACAGGGAGCTCAGCACTGGATTCCCACTTTGGCTCATATTTCTGGCGGCGGAAGAGGCCTCTGAGGGCTGAGGTCTCCACCACTTGGGGTGTGGGATCTTCCCCGAGGCTGGCACAGCACCAGCTCCAGCCACTGGCCCAGCTTTGAAACGGGAGCAACGGAAGCCTCCTATAAGTGGCCTCCTGTAAGTGGTGGGAGGCGGGGGAGGCCGGGCACTGCTGCCAAGCGCCGTGCCCTCTGGGCTTGCAGCTGAGGCCGAGGCCTGGGACCCTCTTGAGGGGAGCTCATCCTCCAGAGCTCCGAAGAGGCTGCCGCCCTGGGCAGGGACCTGGGGTACCAGCCAAGGCAGAGCAGGAGGTAGGAAGGAGGCAGACCCAGGAAGGCTCCGGAGGGGCAGGCTCAGCCCGGGTACCGTGTCTCCGAGAGACTGAGGCAAAGTGGGCAGCGCCCTCTCTGTGCTCAGAAAGCCAGGCCAGAGTCGCCCTAAGCTGAGGACTCCAGGCCCTGTGGACTTATGTTTCTGGGCTGTTGTGTCTTCTTTGGGGGTTTTACTTCTTTAGATTTCTGAAAGGCTCTTTTTGACAAACCATCTTTCTGTCCGCTGAAATAAGAGATTTGTTTACACCTTGATCAGCATCTAGTTCCACTCAGGAAACTGGTCATAAGCTCCTACTATGCGCAGCATGCCGGGAGGGGCCCCCTAGTGGGTGTGGGTCTTGCCGTCCTGAATTTGGTCACTAGGACGCAGCTGAGGGCCCAGGAGGCAGATGCCGAGCCCCCCTGGGGAGCCACCTGCCCATCTTTCTGCTTCCTTAGTTTGTTGTCGTTGCTGTGGCCTGGGCTTCATTTCCCATCCCACTCCTCTCTTTCCAAAATGGTTCCCAGTCCCCAGCCTGCCATTCACCATTTCTAGGCTTTGGAGTCTCCCTTATGGCTCCACAGCCATAGACAGGCAGGGCTTTGCCCTCTCCGCTTCCGCATCGCTCTCATCTCTGCACAAGTCCGTTCAAATCAGCAAGTGAGGTTGTGCCAGGCACTCTGCTGGGCATAGAGACCCTGATGCAGTCCCAGGAGGCCCTAGGCCTATGGGAAACATGAAACAAATGCTTAGCAGATGGAAAATGCCATTGACAGCCCTTTCAGGAAGAGGGATGAGAAATCTGGAAAGGCTTCTTGAAGG